GGGTGGGGAGTGGGGGAGGGAGAGCAGTGGGTCAGTTTTGAGAAGTGACTTATACACTGATATCTGAAGGAGTGGATGACAGCCAGGTGGAGACCAGGGGAGGGGGCTGGACTGAGAAAAGATGAAGGTCATATGCCAAGCAAAGAGAGAGAAGGGGGATGGGGAGTGGTCAGAGATAAGACTGAGAGGCAGACAGTTAGGGGTTCATGACAGCACATAAAACCTGGGCAGGAATTTGGATTTTATCCTGAGGGCAGGAGAAAATAATTAAGAGGTTTAAATTGGAGGGTAACTTGATTAATTTAGCATCTCAGAGGAATTATTGGAGCTGTAGTGTGCAGCCCAGATTGGAGGAAGCTAGACAGGAAGAGAGACACCAGTTATGATGCTGTTGCAGTGATCCAGGTAGTGACGTATAGTAGAGGGAAGGGAAGAGCATTAAGTGCATCTCTGGTTCTTGAGGAAATGTGTATGCCTGGCTTAGTCACCAAGGCATTCATGGATGAGAGAATGAATGAAGGAATGATACATGAGCATTTCATGTATTTCATGCATGAGTGTGTGCATGAATCAATGCAGAAGTGAAGGTGTGTGTTCTAAAATGCATGCATGTTTGTGGAAGCCAAGGCCTTGGTGGGCTGTGCTTGGAGGGATACTTGCCAGACTCCAGAAGGTCCTCCCAGATGGCCAAGCGGGGAGAAGCTGCCCCTCCAGGACAGATCGGAAGGATGAAGCTCTTTGAAGCAGGAAGGTACAGGCTGACAGGGATGACAGATGGGTTAGTGTGTGTGACTCAGTCAGGAGATGGTGAATTGGTTCCTAGATTCCAGAAGTGTCCGACCCTCATGAAGCCGGCTATGACTGTGGAGGGCATGGAGGCCCTGGGTGTGATGTTCCTGGAATATTTTAGCAGGGGAGTCCTGAAGGCAATGGCGGGTCCCTTGGGAAGAGCAGGCATTCCTTGAGCCTCAGCCAAGTGTCAGGTGCCCACTGAAAATGTTATTCCCTAGGGTCTGAGTGGGGGGAGGAAAGGTAGAGGGTGGATGGGCAAGAAGAGCCCCTCCTCATTGGGTATCTGTGGGCCCACACTGCATTACTTAGAAGCTTAGGATGGTGAGGCACCTTGCCTGAATAACTCTCACATCAGGTGTGCAGCCACCTTGGTGTAACCACGCCTACTCCCAGTCCTTCCCTGTCTGGTTACCCAGCAGCCTGGGTCTTGGGACTGCCTGTCCCTCAGTGCTGCCTCTTGGACCAGTCAGGATTCCTGGTTTCCTTGGTAACAGAAAGCACGTCAGCAGTCTGGGCGCTCCCAGCCAGTCCTGGTGCTGCGGTTGCCGAGGAGACGCTGCAGCCTAGCTGGGCCCTGGCAGGTGAGGGGGGTAGTGCTGGGAAGCCCCAAGCCCAGCCTCAAGCTTGCTGGGGCCCTGGCCCTCAAGGCCCACCCTTGGGTTCAAACTGCTATGCAGGTTCTGGGCAGGGGAGGGATCCCTGAAGGCCTTGAAGCCACACCCTGTTTATGCCAGAGCTATAGGCTCTGCAGGTCCCCAGGTGGCTGGGGTATTCCCGAAGGGCTAAGTCTCCTAGTGTCCCTAAGATTGTGCTTGGCTATGCCACTGAGGTGACCACTGGAGGGAGGGTGGGATGGAGATTCAGGATTGGGGGAGGGGAGCCAGGCTGAGAAAGAGGTGGTAGGTGTGAGCAGGAGAGACTGGGGTCTCACAAACCCCACTTCCTCCTCCCTTCCCCACCCCAAGGAGGTTCCCTTGCATGGTGGTCCTGGCCCCTCCCTAGAGAGCTCCAGGCGGGGGAGCATCTTGCCTGGCAGACACTCTGCCCTGGTGAGAAGGGGGTGGGATGAGCTTTTCTCTGCAGCCCAGCACCAGGCTGTGAGCCCAGCTGGCTGGGCTAGAGGGGCTGTGAGGAGGGAGGGTAGAGGCAGGAGGGGCTGGGAATGAGCGCCATGTTCTCCCAGGACTTTTTCCTGGCCATCATCCTGCAGGACAGCAGCCCAGGTGAGGGGCAGCATGAGGCTGAGAATGATGTGTGGTGGTGCTGGCAGGAAGAGCAGAGGTGGAGGATTCATGAGAGGGCAACAGGGAAGGGGTGGTGTGGTTCTGCTGGTAGATGAGGGTGCTTGTTATAGAGGCCAGGTGTGTGTGATGCATGATATGTTTGCCTACATCAGTGTGTGGCAAGGGTCAAGCTGTGCCTGTGGTGTCCGCACACATGTGACAGGGGTTGATGTATGTCATGTGTCTGAGGGTGCATCCACCTATATGTATGGTGTGGTATCTGCCATATGTGTGGCAGGGCTGGTATATACTGCTGTATGGGCACACACCTTTGCGGTGTCTACATGAGTATATGACTGGAGTTGGTGTGTGTGTTTGCCCCTGCACACATGTGTCTGTGATACCCTGTCATCTGCACTGGTATTTTCTGTGTGTTGCACACCCTGGTGGTTTGTGGCTGCACAAGTGTGTGGTAGGGCTTGTATATGTTGTATGTATGCACATGTATGTGTGCAGGAGCTGAAAAGTGTGTTCTCTGAGTTGTAGATATGTATAAAAGGAGGTTAATCGGGGTCACCCAACCTCCCTTCCTTCTTTCTTCACTGCCTTCCTCCTTTTCCCCATGTGACCACAATAGCCACTGGCAGGGCCCAGGAGGAGACCTGAGGCGTTCTTCCTACTGATGGCCCCCATGTGGTGACTCCAGACTGTGGACTCTAGGAGGAAGCAGGAACCATGTTGTGCTGTAGCCTTTCCCCAACTCCCTCTCAACCATGAGTTCTCAGAGGGGTCTGGGCATAGGCACCAGCTGTCTGCTTGTTGGATGGGCCGACCCTCACCAAGCCTCCCACCTGGCAGATTCCTTCTGGAACCCCAACGCCTTCGAGACGGATTCCGACCTGCCGGCTGGATGGATGAGGGTCCAGGACACCTCAGGGACCTACTATTGGCACATCCCAACAGGGACCACCCAGTGGGAGCCCCCTGGCCGGGCCTCCCCCTCACATGGGAGCAGCCCCCAAGAGGAGTCCCAGGTGAGGCTGACAGACCTGTTGGTTTTAGCTAGAGGTTTAGGTGGGGTATGCTGTTGGAGCAGGATGAGGCATCCACTCATGCCTCCTGTCCCTCCTTCTAGCTCACCTGGACAGGCTTTGCCCATGGAGAAGGCTTTGAGGATGGAGAGTTTTGGAAGGTGGGTGAAGAAACCTGTTTTACCATGGGGGGAGCTGGAGTAGGGGCATCATTTTGGTCCTGATTCCTCAATCCACTTCCCAAGGATGAACCCAATGAGGAGGCCCCAATGGAGTTGGGACTGAAAGATCCTGAGGAGGGGACATTGCCCTTCCCAGCTCAGAACCTCAGGTGAGTCTCTAGATGTAGGGGGCTGGTAGTAGAATGATCTCTTTGGAAGGGGCCTTGGGACAGCTCCATGTATGGGGCCTGTGCCAAATGTTACCATCTGCCTCCAGCCCAGAGCCGTTGCCCCAAGAGGAGGAGAAGGTTCCGCCACGGAATGCTAACCCAGGGATCAAGGTTTGTTCAAGACCAATACCCTTTCTGCAGGCCAGGGGCCCTCCACCCTCAGTTGTGTTCTGAGGGTGTCTCTGGTCTCAATACAACTCCCCAGGTCCTGAGCTAGGAGTTCTTCCAGTCTCAGCACAGAACCCTGGGACTGAGCACCTCAGTTTTTTTACTCAACTAGCCCAGTGGCCTGGTTGAGGGTCTTTCTAGGCTTGGCTCACATCTTCTTTGTCCCAGCAGGGGTCTCCTCTGAGATCTCCCTCTCCCTTATCCCTTCTATTTAGGGGAGCTTCTTAGTTGTAGTTCAGAACTCCCTCTCCCCTGCCAGGCTCTGAGCCAGGAACTCCTCTGTCCAGTGCTGGAGTCCCCTCCGGTTTTACCTCAGACTCTACCTCCCACCCCTCTTCTGTGTCTGGCAGTGTTTCGCCGTGCGCTCCCTAGGCTGGGTGGAGATGACAGAAGAGGAGCTGGCCCCTGGACGCAGCAGTGTGGCGGTCAACAATTGCATCCGTCAGCTCTCCTACCACAAAAACAATTTGCATGACCCCATGTCTGGGGGCTGGGGGGAGGTGAGGACCCGAGCCTGTGGCAGGTGGTGCTGTGGGAGGGTGAAGGGAACTGTGAGAGATGGGAGGTCTGACCTGCCTATGAGAGGGCTGCGGGAGGGGGCTATTGGCCCACCCCAGGTGGCAACCCTGTGGGATGGATGAGTGACCTCAGGCTGGGACTTTGGACAGTGGTGGCCTGATAGCGATGGGGATGATAAAAGGAGTCACGTGAGAGATCCCATGTGACCTCAACTGGAGCAACAGCCCCAGGGCAGGTGGGCTGACACCAGAGGAGGGGCCCCAGCGCTGAAGGGGGCAGAGGTCAACCATCCTCCCTGGGGTCAGCTGGGGTACCACTGAGCACCTGTTTCTGGGTCTGCAGGGAAAGGATCTGCTGCTACAGCTGGAGGATGAGACACTAAAGCTGGTGGAGCCACAGAGCCAGGCACTGCTGCATGCCCAGCCCATCGTCAGCATCCGTGTGTGGGGCGTCGGGCGGGACAGTGGAAGGTGGGAGCAGTGCCTGGGGTTCTAGGGTGGGGCTTATGTAGCAGTCAGCGTCCTCTCTAACTCTGCCCTTCACCTCTCTTGTGCTGCCGGACCCAGAGAGAGGTACTATGCCTGTTTGCCTTGACCTTACCCCTCCCACACCTGGACAAGACACCTTGAAGCATCTAAGCCTCCCTCTTCTGCCCTGCCCTTTCTCACCCGCTGTGCTTGACCATTATCCCCCACCTCAGCATGCTTGTCTGTCTACTCTCCCTCCAGAAGTTAGCATCTACAGAACACCATCTGAGGGAGAAGCCCTGGAGGAGCTGCAATGGGCAGGGAGGACGTGGGAGGGGTGGGAATCAGGCTCATCACCGAGTGGCACTGGGAGACACTGAGGTGCCCCTCCCCCAACAGGGACTTTGCCTACGTAGCGCGCGATAAGCTGACCCAGATGCTCAAGTGCCACGTGTTTCGCTGTGAGGCACCCGCCAAGAACATCGCCACCAGCCTGCATGAGATCTGCTCCAAGGCACGGCCCTCTCCACTCCCTGGACTAGCTGCCACCTTTGCTCTACAAGGGTGTGGGTGGGGTCACTGAATGGGGTGGGGGGCTTCAGGGCGATAAAGCCCTTATAGACCCTCACTTCTCCCCTCCATCCCTTCCTTCCTCAGATTATGGCTGAACGGCGCAATGCCCGCTGCTTGGTAAATGGACTCTCCCTGGACCACTCTAAACTTGTGGATGTTCCTTTCCAAGGTCAGTGTCAAAACCCTACCAGGTCCAGTTCAGCTTTGTTGACAAAAGGTGGGTGACCCAAGAGGAGGTGTGAGCTCCTGGACAGACCTGATAGAAAAACAAACACATGGAGACTGAATACTCAAATAAGTGAGGGACTATCGTTAAAGGGAGGCAGGAGAGTGGGTGGATGTAGGGCTTTGGCTGGGTGGAAGTCTGCCTTGCTGGTGGGGACTGGGCGTGAGCAAGGTCTGCCACCTTGACTGATCCATTTCTTCTTTCCTATAGTGGAATTCCCGGCACCTAAGAATGAGTTAGTCCAGAAGTTCCAAGTCTATTACCTGGGGAATGTGCCTGTTGCTAAACCTGTTGGTATGTGTGTCCTTTTTCACCCAAGGGCTGCCACCCTGATCCCTAAACTCTGCCCCTACCTTCCGCCTTCCCTTGCTGTTTCTACTGGGCCTTCCTCGTGCTTGATGTCTCCTTGCCCTTCGAAATGCATTCCCGCTCCCTGTACCCTTGTCCCAACTGCACTCTATGTTCTGCCTGTAGCACAATCCGCATGCCAACTGGTAGGTTTGGAGCATTCAGAGAAGGAAGCAGTAGGCATAATTGACACATGATTTATTGTTGCAGAGTATTTCCTTAGATTATGTCATTTAGTTCCTGATAATCCAGTGAGGTTGGGATTATGATTACACTTGTTTATAGATAAAGAACCAAGGGTAGAGACTGTCTAGTGAACTCTTATCTTTCCAGTGCTTTTATACTATCTGTCAATTATCTGTTCATTCTTTTAACACATACCTTTGAAGCCTGCCATGTGCCTGTACTAGGCAACAAGAGAACAGTGGTGTGGCTGGGCTTGGTGGCTCAGCCTGTAATCCCAGCACTTTGGGAGGCTGAGGCAAGTGGATTACCTGAACCTGTGGGTTTGAGACCAGCCCAGGCACCTTGGTGAGACCTCATCTCTACAATAATTCAAAAATTAGCTGGGCATGGTAGTGCATGCCTGTAGTTCTGGCTACTTGGAAGTCAGAGGCAGAAGGATTGCTGGAGCCCAGCTGGTTGACACTGGTGTAGCTGTGATTGTGCCACTGCACTCCAGCCTGGGCTACAGAGTGAGACTCCAACTCACACACACAAAAAAAGAACAATGGCCACAGTCCCGCTTTCACAGAGGTTATGGTAGGAAAACAAAAACAAACCCAGGAGTTAATCATATACTCACAAATAAATGTGTAATTATAAACTGAATCATCCATTGAAAGAAAGTAGCAAGATGTAATCGAGGAACTTCATCTAGTCTTAGGGGTCGGAAAAGACTTCCCTATGGCATATGAACTAAGATGGAAAAAATGAATAGAGGCTGGGTGCATGGCTCATGCCTATAATCCCAGCACTTTGGGAGGCCAAGGTGGGAGGATTTCTTGAACCCACAAGTTCATGACCAGCTTAGGCATCATAGCGAGACCTCGTCTCTACAAAAATAAAAATTAAAAATATTAGCGGGGCACAGTAGCACTTGCCTATAGTCCGAGCTCCCGAGGCTGAGGTGGAAACATCACCTGAGCCCAGCAATTGAGACTGCAGTGAGCTCTAATTGTGCCATTGCATTTCAACTTGGGTGACAGAGTGAGACTCCAACTGAAAAAAAAGAAAAAAAAAGAATAGAAGTGACTGTGTTAACATGGGATGGAGACAGGGGTGGGATGGTGAAAGATCAGGGTCCACAGTGGTAGGCACTTTGGTACTTCAGAGGCACTAGGAGAAGGCCAGTGCAAGATGAGGCTGAGGGCTGAGCTGCAAACTGTCAGGGACCTCATAGGCTGCATAAGTTATTTGTTCTTCACCCTAAGAGCAGCAAGGAGCTATTGTAGTCTTCAGGAGTGCACTTGACTTAACCAGATTTGAATTTTGTAAAGCTCACTTTAACTATACCAGGAAAAAGGATGTTGAGTGTGTGAAGGTGGGTGTGGGAAGCTCAGTTAGAAGGATCTAGCAATAGTTGTGACCAATAAGGAGAGTATCTAGGACAACAGTGGAGAGTTCAAGAGATGCTTAGACAAGTAAAGTCAACAGGCTTTGGTGATTGGTTGGATGAAAGGTGAGGGAGAGGGACAGGGGCATTAAGGATGACTCTTAGTGTTCAGGAGCTTGAGAACAGCCTGGGCCACAAAGCAAGACTTTGTCTCTAAAAAAAAGAACCCCCCCCAAAAAAATAGACTAGCCAGATGTCATAGCATGCTCCTATAGTCCTAGCTACTCCGGAGGCTAAGGCAGAAGGATCACCTGAGCCCAGGAGTTTGAGGCTACAGTGAGCTGTGATCATACCACTGCACTCCAGCCTGGGTGACAGAGTGAAACCCCGACTCAAAAAATTAAAATAAATTTTTCAAAAAATGGTGACCCTGGCCAGGTACAGTGGCTCATGCCTATAATCCCAGCACTTTGGGAGGCCGAGGTGAGAGGATTGCCTGAGTCCACAGGTTTGAGACCAGCCTGGGCAATTTGGTGAGACGTCATCTCTGAAATAAATCACACACACACACACACACACACACACACACACACACACACACACAGAAAATTAGCCAGGAGTGGTGGCATGCGCTTGTAGTTCTAGCTATTTGGAAGGCAGAGGCGGAAGGATCACCTGAGCCCAGCAGGCCGAGACTGCAGTGGCCACAAGTGTGCCACTCCAGCCTGGGTGACAGAGTAAGACTCAGACTCAAAAAAAAAAAAAAAAAAGGATGACTCCTGGGTTCCTGGCTTTTGGACCTGCTGGATGGTGATGCCCTTCTCTAAAGGTTACAAATGCTAGAAGAGGCCAGTTTCGGTGTGGAGATTGTGATTGAGTGACAGTGTCAGGTTGGCAGCTGGGTTCACAGGTCTGGAGCTGAGAGGAGAGGTCTGGGCTGGAGATGGAAGTTTGGGTGTCATTGGATTATAGAGGTAATCAAAGCCATGGGTGTGGAGTAAATTGACCCTAGAAAGTAGGCAGCCTGAAGTGAAAAGGGAAATGAGGCTAGCCCTAGCCTTGAGGCCCTTCAACATTTAATGAATGGGTGGTAGAAGATGAAACTGCTAAGGACAGCAAGAGCAGAAGAGAGGTGGGAGGAAGAAAAGAGACTGCTTCAAGGAGAGGTTGAGTTGTCATGTCAAAAGACACTTAGGAGGCTAGACACAGTGGCTCGTGTCTATAATCCCAGCACTTTGGGAGGCCAAAGCAGAAGGATTGCTTGAGCCCAGGAGTTTGAGATCAACCTAGGCAACATAGTGAGACCTTATCTCTACAAAAAATAAAAAAAATAAAAACAGCCAAGCATGGTGGCACACACCTGTAGTCCCAGCCACTGGGGAGGATTGCCTGAGCCCAGGAAGTTGAGGCTGCAGTGAGCTGTGATCTGCCACTACACTACAGCCTGGATGACAGTGAGACCCAATTCAAAGAAAAATTAAAAAAAAAATAATCCTGCCAGGTGCAGTGGCTCACTCTGTAATCCCAGCACTTTGGGTACTGGAGGTGAGAGGATTGCCTGAGTCCAGGGGTTTGAGACCAGCCTGGTCAACTTGGCAAGACCTCATCTCTACAATGAATAAAAAAAAATTGGCCAGGCACGGTAGTTCATGCCTGTAATCCCAGCATTTTGGGAGGCTGGGGCAAGAGGATTACCTGATCCCTCAGGTTCGAGACCAGCCTGGGCAACATGGCAAAACCGTGTCTCTAAAAGAAAAAAAAAAAATTAGCTGGGCATGGTGGTACACGCCTGTGGTAGCAGCTACTTGAAGGCTGAAGCAGAAGGATGGCCTGAGCCCAGCAGATTGAGGCTGTGGGTAGTTGTGAGCATACCACTGCACTCCAACCTGGGTGACAGAGTGAGACTCTAACTAAAAAAAAAGTCAACAACTGATAAGAAAAGAAATTCATAGCAGGATAAGGGGGATTGGGAGTATGGGCCTAGAGGTCAGGATGTAGGTTTCAGTCCTGAGTTGTTACCAAATCTGACAGTTTTTTCCCAGACCACTTTGTTCTACTGCTTTAGCTACTTTTCTACCAAACCTCTCATGACTCTGAGGCCAGGCGACACCCCCACATCCCCATCTGTTCAGCAGTTTGACTTTGATGTCCCTCCCACACCCATACCCTTAGAGTTTCCATTGCCCTGGCCTAAATGTCATGAACATCATAGCCTTCTGCCAGGCTTTTGAAACTCTCTGCAATCTGACTTGGCCCAGCCATTCCTGCCTGCATTGTCACCCTTCTGTGGACTCCTGTTTCACTTGGTTTTACCAGTTTGGGTACATCTGCTCGTACTGCCCTGAGGGTGATTTGGTCAAGCATCTGGAGTTTCTTCAGCAGAGAAACCCTGTGTTAGGATAGAGGACATAGGGATGAATTAAACTTGTTCTCTGCTCTTGAGATGGCTACAGCCCAGTGTGGAAGAAAGTTTCCCAACAGTTACAAGATGTTGTGGTAAGGTTCCCCATGTCTCAGAGTTGTCCTCTCCTTGTCCTGAAGGGATGGCTTCCCAGGCTGGGTGGACCTGGGCCTGGGTAGAGCTCTGAAGGATGAGAATCTAGAGTTTCTCAGATAGTCAAAGTGTGGGGAAGGTCACTCCAGACAGAGGCTTTTTCTTCAGTTGCAGTCTGTGTCCCTTGGGCCTCTTCTTCTCTTGCTTTGTATTCCCCATCTGCCTGGCAGGCCATTTGCCAAGATTAGATGTTAGTAAATGCTACATAAATCATTTGAAGCCCAGAGAACAGTAAAATTTGAGACTTGACAACTCAGAGGAGGCCAGATTTTGGAGGACTTGCATGCTTGGAAGAGGAGATTGGCCTTGTTCCAGCTAGAGGTAAGGTGCACAAGGCCAAGATGGGGAAAGTCTTGCAAAGAAGATGATTGTCTTCTGATTTGTTCTCTGCCTACAAAGAGTTCACGTGGTGTGCTCCTAGTGGGAGCTGAGAGGCAGCTAAAGGAGTGGAGGGTCCAGGAGTGCACCACAGAACCATGTGCCTTTTGTGTTGGCATTGTGCGAAGACACAGTAGATCGCACAGCCAGCTCGTGGGTGGAACAGGGACTAGAACCACTGTCTCTGCCCCACCATGTGCTCCTGTTTAGGTTCTTTGCTGAGTCCAGGCAAAAATGGGATGCACGAATAGAAATGTTTAACAGCAGTTCAAGGTGGAGGAGACCACAGTATTATAAGGGAAAATGAAGTCATCTAAAAGTCAGGAACTTTGAGTTCCTTGGCCCCTGAGCACATTACAGAAATTCTTTTTTTTTTTTTTTTTTTTTTGAGTTGGAGTCTCACTCTGTCGCCCAGACTGGAGTGCAGTAGCACACTCCCGGCCACTGCAGTCTCAACCTGCTGGGCTCCGGTGATCCTTCCACCTCAGCCTTCCAAGTAGCTGGAACTACAGGCGCACACTACCATGCCTGGCTAGTTTTTGATTTATTGTAGAGATGAGGTCTTGCTAAGTTGCCCGGGCGGGTCTTGAACCCACAGGCTCAGGCAATCCACTTGCCTTGGCCTCCCAAAGTGCTGGGATTACAGGCTGAGCCACCTAGTCCGGCCCAGAAATTCTTGAGTAGAACCAAGATTTGCAAAGCCCTTCTAGTTCTGAAAACTAGGAATGTAGAGAAGAGGTAGGAGAAAGGCATGGTTAAGAACCCAGGCTCTAGTCCCCCATGTGACCTAAGGTATATTACCTGATTTCTATAAGTTTTAGTTTCCTTATCTGCAAAATGTAATAAAATAACATTGTGAGATTGTGTGAGATTGTGTATAAATAATACACTGTGATAACCTAGCAGTACAGAGTACACATTCCTCAAGTGAATATCTTTAAAAAAAAAGATTGAGTCTTAGGAGAAGACTGGTCTTGCCTGTAGGGGCTGATTTGGGAGTCATTGTAGTGGTGTGAAGCAGTGTAGCATCTGAATGTGAGGAGCACTGATACAGCTGGATTTGGTCAGAACTTTGAAGGGGTCAGTCAGTTTAGGAGGTTGGAAGAGGAGGCAGAGTCAGTGAAAAAAATCAAGTCTAGGATTCAAGATAGAAAAAAGCAGAAAGTGTCAAGTCACTGAAGCCAAGGAGGAAAGTCCTGAGGAAGGGATACCTGGCCAGCATTGTCTTCATTGCTCTGAACTGGTAAAGCGGGGATAAAACAAAAAGCATGGGTTTGACTGGAAGATCTAGGGCAGAGCTGAGGTATCATCTGTCTACACTCAAGTGGTGTCATGTTTGTATTCATATCTTCTAGGGGTAGACGTAATTAATGGGGCCCTGGAGTCAGTCCTGTCCTCCAGCAGCCGTGAGCAGTGGACTCCAAGTCATGTCAGCGTGGCTCCTGCTACCCTCACCATCTTGCACCAGCAGGTAAAGAGCTGGGGTGGGAGGCAGGGCTGGGCCTTGCCATGGAGGGGAGACTGGGAGTGAGGGGAAGAGCTGCTGACAAGATGGACGTGCCTCAGTGTAACACAAGAGGGCTGGTGAGGGCAAGGGGTTGAGGGGAAGATTCCTTTTCAACTGAGTTCGCTCCCTGCAGACAGAAGCAGTGCTAGGGGAATGTCGGGTACGCTTCCTCTCCTTTCTGGCTGTGGGCAGAGATGTCCACACATTTGCATTCATCATGGCTGCCGGCCCAGCCTCCTTCTGCTGCCACATGTTCTGGTGCGAGCCCAATGCTGCCAGTCTCTCAGAGGCCGTGCAGGCTGCGTGCATGGTAAGACAGTAGGGTGGTGGGGTGGTAGCATGACCCCAGGTGAGGCAGGCTGGAGAGTGACTGCCCTACCTGCCTCTCTACAGCTTCGCTACCAGAAGTGTCTGGATGCCCGCTCCCAGGCCTCCACCTCCTGCCTCCCGGCACCCCCTGCTGAGTCCGTTGCACGGCGTGTAGGGTGGACTGTCCGCAGGGGCGTTCAGTCACTCTGGGGCTCCCTGAAACCCAAGCGGCTGGGAGCCCACACCCCATGAAGAAGCCCCCATCCTCCCTCCACCTGCTCGTGTTGGACCCCAGGAAGCTTCAGGGTATGGGGTAGGGAGGGGTCCTAGTGGCTATTCCTAGGCCTCAGGCCCCCCAAAGCTGCCCCTTCCCAGTGGCTGGGGTTCCCTGCCTAGGGGCTGGGGAGGCAAAGAGCTAATCCCTTCAAGGAAATGATAACACTGGAGTGATGACAAGAGGAACAGGAAGCAAGGCCAGTCCCGGGCTCTCCATCCCCATGTGTTTCAGGTGGAGCAGGAGGAACTGGTCCAGGCCAAGCCCCATTCTCCTAGGACCCAGCAGGGCAGAAGGAGGAGGGGACTGGTCCAGGCATGGGTCCCTTTCCCCCTGCTCTGTGGGTACCTCCGCTGTACTGATATCACTAATAAAGTCTGTCTGCACTGCTGTGTGCCCTCTTATTCCTGTACCACACCATCTCCCCCATACTTCCCCAGGTCTCCTTGCCCTACCTCCTTGGAGAGAAGAAATTGGGAGAGTTACAGAGGAGTCTGGAGTCCAAGTCTCGCATCTTTATTTTAGTAGCAGCAATCCAGGGTTCCCCGCTGGGCAGCACGAACCTGGGGCAACAGCTCCTGTCTGGTCTGCCCAGTGCAGTGTCACTTTAGGCCTCAGCTCCATGGCCATGAAAGGACAGCAGCCCCAGGGCAGTCTAGATGCTGGGCACACGCAGAGCAGCAGGGCAGTCACACCCCAGCCCATATCCAGCTAAACCAGCTCCAGGAAAGGAGAAGGTCCTGTTTTCCTTGTGTACTTGGGGCCCAGGGATGGGCTTCCTCTGGACAATCTTGCCAGGTGGAATCACAGCAGTGCTGTGGGCTTTCTGTCCATTTCTTAATCAAGAATTTTCCCAACTCTGGTCCCTGGGGCCCTAGCATAACAACGGCCTTGGCCACAGGCTCTGGACAGTCGGGAGGTTCTCATCTGGCACTAGATGGCGGCACAGAGCAGGGCTGTCGGCGCGGGCAGAGAGCTGGGCGCACAGCGTGGCCAGGCGGCAGGGCGCGCCGCAGGGCTCCGAGGGCGGGTGGCCCTTATGGTAGAGAAACCAGAAGGTCTGGAAGAGTCGCGTGTCGCTCCGCATGCGATATACCAGGTCGTGCCAGGCGGCAGGCAGTACGTTGGGCAGCCCGTAGGTTTCTCGAGCCCTATAGAGGCGCTGCCAGTGCGGCGTGGCTCCTGGCACGTTGGCCTTTGTCAGATTCAGGATGTAGGTCTCGTGGTCCAGGACCACGTGAGAGCTCCCGGAGTAGTTTCCATCTATTTGGTACACGCGGTAACCTGTGAGGAAGGAGGGGCTGACTAGAGGGGAAAGGAACAAAGGCAACTCCAGGGACGGGTCACACACCCTGCCCACCCTTTGCCGGCCCAGGCTCAGATCCCCTTCCACTATCCCACCAACCCCAGGATAAAGGAAGTTCCTTTCAGCATCACTCACCAGGATTCAGGCCGATGTAGGTGGTGGCACTGGGCGCCAGGAAGGCTACAGCCAGTGGCCGGCTCAGAGTATCTTCATCATAGAAGACCTCAAATTCATCCACATGAGTGTGGCCAAAGAACTGACCAGCCAAAGTGTTCTCATACCTGACCAGAAGAAACTAATTGTATTCAGAAGATTCTACCGAGGGGGAGGAAGAGATCTAGGTAGATAGGATGCTCTCTTTCTCCAACCTATTCAAGTAGCCTCCCCACCCCACAGGGTTATGGGGATGGTGAGATTCATGGGAATGTCCAACCTAAGAGCTTCATCCCCTTACCCCATCCCCACTCCCACCATCTCCTACCTGGCTACAATTCGGTAATAATTCCAGCTCCAACTCTTCAGGCAGTGTCCCGGGGGAATGTGGCCAATTATATGCACCTGAGTGAGAGGGAGAGTTAAGGGTGGTTATCAGGGTATCAAGGGGTCCAGACAACTCTGGCCAAAGAGAGGGAGAATTAATAAAAGGGCTTCCAAGAGTGACCATGAGCTGAAGCCCCAGGGAACATTGTTGGGAATGCCAGAAAAGCAAGCTTCTCTGCTCACAAAGACTCCAGCTCAACCGGAGCCGTCTTCTTTCTCAGTCCTGGCACCACCTACACCACCATGTGCCCACCACTCTCCCTCACTTTGTCTCCTCGGTCCTCAGCAGCCTGAAGCTCCGCCACTAGCCACTGGAGCTGTCCGCCGGGATCTGTGGAGTTGATCAAGAGCCAGAAGTTCTCACGGGAACAAAAATTCATGTTGAGAGAGATGAGGCGGAGGCCAGGGCGTGGCGAAAGGGCATAGAACCCCCCGGTTCTGAAACAAAGTAAACATGAGGTATCAACACTTGTTCATAATCCTGATCCTGCATGCCCAGTCCTGTGCTGGGCATTTGGGTGGAGGGCAGAGACACGCACGACAGCATCCTCACCCTCAGTGAGTTCACAGTCTAGCTGAAGACCAAACAATAGGAATTATAGGACGTGCATGATAGAAAGGAATAGCTGAGGGTCGAGGGTTCTAGGAGTGCAGAGGAGAGGTGAGAGTGAGCAAGAGTGGGAAGCAAAGGCCATGCAGGGGGAGCATGACCTGGGCTTGGATAAGATGGGAAACATAGGGAATGATAAAAAGAAGAGGAATTCATTTTAGTGAGGACCCACATGAGCAAAGACACAGGCTGGGGCATGGAGAGGTTATGCTGCCAGCCCTTTGAAGGAGGGGGCTGGAGATAAAATGGGGAGAAAGGCAAGGTGGGGTGGGATTAGGGTGGGAACAGTGAAGAACACGGAGGACTCACACTAGAGCAGTCAGAGACGATGCCTCAGCTTCCCCACCCCCACTTCCTTTGCATCCACCTTTCTTTTCCCTTCATGGGTTTTCATGGACCGGAAGTACCTGAGGGAGGCAAGGGCTTCAGCAGGCAGCCAGGGTTCCCAGGCTTTGGCCATCGCCTCATAGAGCCAGCGGGAGGAATAGTTGCCCTCGATGAAGGGGGGAGGAAAGCTGTTGACGGGTGTGCTCTCGTGGTTTCCCACAGCTGGATACACTGGCACTGGCCCCAAGAACTTTCTCACAAGGGCTGTGACAGTGTTCAGGGCCCGCAGCTGGTCCTTTCGAGATTGGTGCCAGATGTCATGGGCAGGGATGTCTCCTGTCCAGTACACCATATCAAAAGGGCCAGCTGGGCCCAGCCCACTCAACAGGCTTTCCAGGGTCCGTAGGGGCAGGTCACACTTGCTGTACTCGCCCCAGTATCCAGCACCTGGTTGGGAGGCTGGTGGTGGGCCAGAGCCCCGGCGGCAGCACAGTGGGTCAGCACAGTTAGGATCTGTGCCCTCCAGGTAGTCATGATCCCAGTGCAGGTCAGTAAGGAAGAGGACACGGCTGACAGGGGCGCCTGGGGCTGGGGGGCTGGGCGGCTTGGGAGGTGGCTTCGGCACGGCTGATAAAGAGACATTCCAAGATGAGAAGATGTCCCACTGCCCACAGGTGGAGCCCAGAAGCAGGCCACAGGCTTCAGATGGGCTCAGTACTGAGCGTGTCCACACCTCCACCATGTCATCCTCAAAGAGATGGACAGCCGACTGGCACACAGGAGGCGGTGCTATCTTCAGCAGATTGCACAGCTTGATGGCCACGGAGCCCACCCGGGCTACGTTGGGCTCCTTCTGTGGTTGAAGGAATGAGTGGTGAGCTGTCAGAGACAGAGCAGGAGAGCCAGGCCAACTCTTGGCCACCACCCCTTGAACCTCTATCTCCAAACAGGCTGAGGTGGACTCAGTGGTACTATGAAGAAACCTCTGTGCCACCCTCTGCCTCCTAGCATTGCCCTGTGACTCAGGCAGCACTAGGCCATTGCTTCCTCTTTAGCTCAGTGGCTGGTGACATTTCAGGCCTTTGCTTGACCTGCTGACTTTCTCAGGCGCTGTCTGCATTCTTTTCTTACTTCACAAGGTCACAATGGGGTGGCATGTAGCCATAAGTGGCCCCAAAGGGGTGCAAACTCAGTAAGGACTTGCAGTGTTACCCTCTCCATCAGGGATGCATTCAGACCCCAGGGCACTTGCATTAGCCGGAGCTCCCACTCCCCCACCCCCAGAGCTCTCCTTCCTCGGTCCCTTCAGTGCTCACCTTCAGACCGTAGTTGATGGCGGTGAAGAGGACTTTGCAGACTGGACAGGTGAGGTTCCACCACCCAAAAGCATCCCGGAGCTGGGGCACTGTAGGACTGAAACTGGCAGGATGGCCTTGGGCAGGCAGAGGGTGGGCCGCTGCCGGGGCCCAGAGCACAAGGGAGTCAGGCAGAGCCACCGCCAGCGCCAGTCCCAGGCTCACCCACAGGAGTCGGGGAGTCCCCGAGCGGACGGACCCGGGGTGATTCTGGCAGGGTGACACTCCGTGGCGGGGCATTGCCGGGCTTCCTGGACTGGGCTGGTTCGCCCGTCCCGCCCTCCCCAGCCTGGCTGGCCCTCAGGGCGGCGCTGAGGACACCCGATTACCCTTCGGTGTAGTCGGTTGACTGCTCCGCGGTCAGCCGCAAGGCAGCTCCGCCCCTTCCTCTTCCTCTGGTCCCCAACAGCTGATTGCAGCGGCGGAGGAGAGTCCTGTTGACACTGCGGCGGCGGAGCAGGCGGGGCGCGCGCGGGACCGCCCCGAATCCCGCCCCTCTACCCTCGCCCCCGCCCTGGCCGAGACTCGGGGGCCGCGGGGGTGGACGGCAGCTCTCTGCGGTCGCCAGGGGCCTCGCCTTGCGGTCTCAGCCGCAGGAGACCGCGCCAGCCGCCGCGCTCGTGCTTTGGGGCCCATGTGGTGTGGCTGGTGGAGGTCCCTCTGAGGTCCTAGGCGCCTCCTCTGTCCAAATTTGCGCTCCGATTCTTGGAATAGCTGCCAGACTCACCCGGGCATTTAACTCGGGTAGGGAGGCGAGGAGAGCTGGGCCAGACGGAATCCTCCCACTGGGTGTTACCTCAGCCAAAGAGGCGCCTCCCCTCGATTTTCCATGCTCTGCCACTGGCACCGGCACCCTTGAGTCACTCTGAGAATCTTTGAGTCACCTTTGATTCAGATGAAGAAACTAAGGTTTAGGAATGGCGAAGTGACTCAGAAGCAGTAAAGACCACTTGGCTACGAGGCCCGCAAACATGGGCTAAAACTCGGCTCTCCCTCCTCTGTGTATCTGCGATGGTAAAAGCTAACATGTACGTGTTTTACAATGTGCCAAGCTCTAATCCAGGCACTTGTAATTACTAGTCCTGGATTCTCCCAACAGCCCTAAGAGGTACCTATAGTATGTGGCGATTTAGCATCCTGAACTAAAGCCTTGAGGTCCCTCTGATCTTCCTCCTCAACCCCCTTTCTTCTGCAAAGCCTTTATCTGCCTAGGATCCAGACCCACCAAAAGGAACAATTGTTTTTTTCTTTCCCTTCCTCCTAAGACCAAGAATGTAACCACACCCAATCAGACCCTTTCACAAGACAATGTGCAAGTGAATCTCTGTTCCCATATCCATTCATTCTCCCTAGTAATTTCTTCAGTAGAATTCCTCTTCTCCCTACTCCCATAACCTGTTTTGCCAGGATGGTATATAAGCTTCTAAACCTCACTAGGGGTGGGTAATTACTCTGTGGTTTTCTCTGTAAACACACTAATAAAATTTGTATGCCTTTTCTTTAATCAATCTGCCTTTTGTGAGTTGATTTTTCAGCAGAGTTTCAGAGGGCGGAGGGGAAGTTTCCCTGGGTCCCCATTATACAGATAGGAAAACTGAGGCACAGGGAAGTTAAGTGGTAGAACAGCAATTACACCCTAAGAAGCTGTTTGACGAGTGCTTCTGCAAGATCCACAGAGCTATCAGGTCCTGTCAGTTCTTTATTTTGAGAATTTTTTCCAAGTGGTTCCTTTTCCCTCGTTCTGTGGATGTCATCTTGTTATCAAAGCAAGGTGGGCCACTCGTTGCCCAAAGCAAAACTCCAGACGAGAGGTGGTGAAAGCAAAATTGCTTTATTTCAAAAGTAGGCAAATGGGGACGTGGCCAGGTTCATGCCTCAAAGAACCCATTTCAGATTTTTAGGCTGAGTATAAGGGTTTAAAAAGGGAAACTTGGCTGGGCTCGGTGGTTCAGCCTGTAATCCCAGCACTTTGGGAGGCCGAGGCGAGTGAATTGCCTGAGCCCATAGGTTCGAGACCAGCCTGGGCAACTTGGCGAGACCTCATCTCTACAATAAATAAATAAAAATTGGTTGAGCTTGGTAGCGCGCACCTGTAGTTACAGCTACTTGGAAGACTGAGGCGGAAGGATCACTGGCAGGCCAGCAGGTCAACATTGGGGTGGCCGTGAGTGTGCCACTGCATTCCAGCCTGGGTGACAGAGTGAGACTCTAACTCAAAATAAAAATGAAAAGGAAAGCTTGGTGTGCAGGCTTGGCACAGGTATGTCTTGATGGCTTATCTTGGGTGGTAGGCCTCCTGGAGGTCTGATTGGTGTTATCTTAGCTGCAATCAGTTTATGGATCAACTGTCTGGTGATTCTCCCCAAGTGGGAGTGTCTCACAATGATTGGCCCCTGGGATTTCTTAGCTAGCGTAAGGTAGGATATGCAGGCATGGTGAAAAAAGTTTCTAAAACATGTTAAGAGAGAGGAGGGGAAAAAACACTTTAAAATACATGTTAAGACTGAGATGCTCAGTTATAATTTCAGAGTAATCACAATAATAATTAGCATGTATTTTTAAGATTCTGTACTATGAGAAAAAAGACCTCATCTGAGGAAGGCAAACCCCTTGAAACTATCAGGCCCAGAGGGTAACAGCAGTCACTCTCACTCATTCTTGAGCTAAATGATTACCCCTTGAAGCCACTTGCCATTAAATGCCACACACCTTATAGTTTAACAATGTATAGTCAATCACTAACCAGTGTTACTTGTGTAAGACCAATGAGAATTCCTGATGAATGATTTTTGTGAACATCCCCTTGCCTGATTTGTCTTTTTTTCTTTAAATACGGAGCCTCTCTTTTGTTCTCCAGAGCCCATCCAAGGCCACTTGGAAGTGTGTTTTGACCTACAGTCCTCAATCTTGGCCTCAAATATCTATAGATATTTTTCTAAAGGCTCTGAGTTAACTCAATCTTTACAATACATTTAGGAAGTAAGTATTTTAATCATCCCCATTTTACAGAAGATGAAAGTAGGATTAAGAAACTGGCTCAAACCCAGGCATGGTGGCTCATGCCTACAATCCCAACACATTGGGAGGCTGAAGCGAGAGGATTGCCTGAGCCCAGGGTTTCAAGACCAGTCTGGGCTACTTGGGGAGACCTCGTCTCTACAATAAATCTGATATACAGACCCGCTAATATCCATCCATATTGTCCCAGCTGCTAGAGAAGGGAAGAGCAAGGGTTCAAGTTCTCCTACATATTCCTGAGAACATCACTGAGAGTCCCTTTATCTCCTATGCATTCCCAATAAATACCTTCAGGGGATCCTTAACTTCCCTATAGACTATGCCCAATCAAACGAAAGGTGCAAATCCCCATTTACTCCCTTTTTTGGAGTGGTTATTTTTATTTTTAGTTTTTGAGTTAGAATCTTACTTTGTTGCCCGGGCTGGTGTGGAGTGGCACACTCATGGCCACCACAGCCTCAAACTGCTGGGCTCAGGCCTCCCAAAGTGCTGGGATTATAAGTGTGAGCCACCACATTTGCCCTTATGCAAAAGTTATACAAATCACAAAACTGATGATTATATGGATACAAAAGTTATACAAATCATAAACCTTACCATTACATTGATACTATATTATTCAAACTTATAACCACTCAGAGGCCAGGCGTGGTGACTCATGCCTATCATCTTAGCACTTTGGGAGGCCTAGGTGAGAGGATTGCCTGAGTCCACGGGTTCGAGACCAGCCTGGGCAACTTGATGAAACCTCATCTCTACGATAAATCAAAAATTAGCTGGGCATGGGTGGCACGTGACTGAAGTTCTAGCTACTTGGAAGGCTGAGGCAGCAGGATCACCTGAGCCTAGCAGGTCAAGGCTGTGGTGGCCGTGAGCATGCCACTGCATTCCAGCCTGTGTGACAGAGACTCAAACTCAAAACAAAACCCAACTTTTTAGTAATGCATAATCTCTTAGGCCTTGTAAACTCCCTTTACCCTATGGCAAGCTTCATTAACACTTTTGCCAGGTCCTACTGATAAAAGCTATGAGATACCTACCACCAGGAAGTCTAGACCAAAAAATGTCACTATCAATAAATGCAAGTGAAACTCAAATTCTATGCAATGCTCTGCTGGTCACGTGGCTAATGTATAGGTACTAGAACTCTGTAGTTATAAGATTGAACTGTAAAAGCCTGGAGGGTGAGCAGAACCATTTTAGAAAGACCTCAATTCTGGCTCTGCTACCTGGATTCAAACTAAGAAATAAACATCTTTCTACAAGTTCCCTGTCCCTTTGATTTATTGGTATCAGGGGGAGAAGGTGAGCATTACTCAGATCATAACAAATCAACAAATTTGCTGGGTGTGGTGGTGCGTGTCCGTAGTTCCAGCTACTTGGAAGGCTGAGGCGGAAGGATCGCCTGAACCCAGCAGGCAGAGGCTGCAGTTGCTGTGAGCGAGCCACTTCACTCCAACCTGGGCAACAGAGTGAGATGATGATTCAAAAACAAAACAAGACAAAACAAAACAAACAAAAGAAAAAGAAACTGCCTCAAGATCCCATAGCTAGCTAGTAAATGCTGGAAGTGGAATTTGAATGCAATATTCTGGCTCTATGTTTTGCTGTGTAGGGACCTGCTGAAAACTCCAGAGTTGGTATAACCGTTATTTTAAGCTGAGATATTATAGATTCAGTAGATGCAGAAAGAAATAGTCTTTGAGTTTTCTTTATTTGACTAAAGCTTCTGAGACATGTCAACCTAAAAAAAAAAAAATTGGGCTGGGCGCAGTGGCTCACGCCTGTAATCCCAGCACTTCAGGAGGGGTGGAGGTGAGGGGATTACCTGAGCCCAGGGGTTCGAGTCCACCCTGGGCAACTTGGCACGACCTCATCTCTACAATAAATGAAAAAACTAGCTGGGCGTGGTGGTGCTCATTTGTAGTTCCAGCTACTTGAAAGACTGAAGCAGAAGGACCACCTGATACCAGCAGGTTGAAAGCTGCAGTGGCAGTAAATGTGTCACTGCACTCCAGCATGGATGACAGAGTGAGACTCTGACTCAAAAAA